TTGGCTACATTGGATTATTGTTGTTACCGTGGCTTCGGGAATTATTCTTCTTTTCCTTATTCTCCTAGTCATCTTCTGACTAGTCTTTTCCTGCATTTCTACAGCTAAAAGAGATATCTACAAGCTTCAATTAAAAAAGAAAGAGAGAGATGCCACACCAAACCCAGTAGATTCTGTGTAACAAATTCCACAGACTGAGGCAATAACTTCAAAAGAAGGCGGTCTCCTGGAACCATCGTGGAACTCTCAGGTGGAGAAAAATATTGAGCCATAGTTCTCATGACAATCTCTGTTCCTCTATTCTTTTCTCATATTAGTGAAATGTTACGCTGACATCTTAAACAAAAGATACAAATGAGAAACTGTCCCCTGATATGTGGTCACTGACCATGACCTCCTCTCCGGGAAAACCATCCCTTTTCCAATCATTCACATCATTCACATAAGTACAAATGGTATTGATGAAAACTTTCCCAACAATAAAATTTCATATAGTTGTACATGTGTAATTGAGAGTGGTTTTAATGTTTGGTAAAGAAAGGTTCTTAATAAGAAAAAGTCAAAGGAGATCAATATTCAAAGACTCACAAAAACTAGCAGATATCAAACAATTGTGAACTAGGTAACAGAATTCAAACAATAACTGACCATAAAAGTGTATTAACCTGATCTTAGAAACAGGAAGTTAACCTTGAATGATTTTCTGATTTATTGTTAGCCTTGGATAAGTTGTGTGTTACTGTGCCTAGTAACAATGATGTCATTTGTTCTGTCTGGGTTTGTTCACTGAACACAAACTCTGAGAAGCTATGCTTTATCTTGGATAAAAAGCCTTGCTTGAAAGCTGCAAAATACATTTGGATTCAAACTGCCTCTGACTCTGTTTGTCACTGCCGCCGAATCCTTCACCACCTAGTCTTCAACAACCCTCATCTCAGGGACCCCCATACGTGGCTGGGGTGGTCCATGGCATCAAAGCCAGCAAGCACCAAATCAAACAGGTTGTAAAGAAGCTCTATAACACTGATGTGACCACAGTCAACACCCTCATAAGGCCTGACAGACAGAAGGAGGCCTGTGTTTAGTTGGCTCCTGATTATGAAGCCCTGGATGTTGCCAACAAAATTGGGGTCATCTAATATGAGTCCAGCTGGCTAATTCCAAATATACACTTTTTCATAATAAATAATAATAATAATTAATACAGACATTCAAATTCCTCTAGGCTCAGCACATACTAAAATACATATTCAAGAATGCATCCTCGGGCTGGAGAGATGGCTCAGAGGTTAAGAGCACCAGCTGCTCTTCCAGAGGTCCCAAGTTCAATTCCCAGCAACCACATGATGGCTCACAACCATCTGTAATGAGATCTGGTGCCCTCTTCTGGCCTGCAGGCGGAATACTGCATACAGAATAACTAAACAAATAAATCTTCAAAATAAATAATGGTTAAAAAACTTTAAAAAAAAAAAAGAATGAATCCTCTTCCCAAACTTTGTACCTTGCTTACTGGCTGTGCTGTTTTGATTTAACTGATTAGTGTGTGTGTGTGTGTGTGTGTGTGTGTGTGTGTGTGTGTGTGTGTGTGTGTGTAGCCACATTCACAGTGATGCACAGTACCCCATCTCATTAGAAATAAAACCTAATAGAACTTCCACTGTATATGCTTGCCTGCTTGATTTGAAATGGCTGTATATCCTTCTGCAGAAGTAAAACTTTTTTTGCATTGCCAAATTACTTTGGATTCTGTGGTCATTTGCTTGAAACCCAAAACCCTTTTCTAGGCCTTCCTTCCATCCTTTCTTTCTTCCTCATTATTTCACTGTCACACATTGCAACCACAAATGTGAATTCTCCCTTTTCCACATTTCTAAGTTCTGAGATTCAAGGTGTCCAATACTAATTTTTAATTATTATTTTATTTTACATAGAAAGAGGATTTATTAGGATGGCTTACAGAATTTGGTCCAGCTAGTACAACAATGACTATCTCCCAATGGAAGGTCCAAGCCTCCAGTAGTTGTTCAGTCCACGAGGCTGAATGTCTCAGCTGGTCTTCAGTATATTCCAGAATCCTGGCTATAGCACCAGTGAAGTAAAGCACTTGCTATTGAGAGTGAAAGCAACAGACAATGTAATTATTTTTTATAACTCTTAGCTCACATAAAAATAGTTTGTGGATATGATTGCATTTTAAGAACAGTAATTACCTGCCAGTTTGGAGGCTCAGGTAAAGTATGTTAGAGTTTTCATTGTCTTGTTTATAAGCAAACTGTTGGGGACTCTTAAGATTTTTCCTTAAAGAATTGGATTTTACATTTCTTTCTCTTTTAAATTGTCAAAGTTGGCACAGAGTAAGTCAGTAACCTGGAGTGCCTGGCTGACAGTCCCTAACCTTAGGACCTACCTTCAGTCTAAAACCAGGTGATGTTCACTTAGAACTTAGTCACTCTTAGGTACTACAAACCAGATTAGGTGTCAGGAGTCACCTGTTGTAAAATGCATATGTGTGAATGGCATATGTATTTGTTATTGTGGGTTTTTGCATGTGTTCCTGTGTGTTCATGTATGAGAAGGACAGAGGTGCATGCAGGGTGCTTTCCTCAATTGCTCTCCACATTTGTATTTAAGACATATTCTCTCACTGAACCTGAGGCTTATCAGTTGCTGAGATGGGCTGGCCCAGAAGCATTATAGATCCCCTAGATGTGTCCCCATTCCATAACCCTAGGTCTAGAAGAGGTCATGAGGTCAGCCCAGGCAGGGCATGTTGTAGGCCTAGAAATGCAAACTAAAGAGTTTGGGATGAGACAAATAACCAAGTTTTCTCACATCTTTTGTTTTACATTATCCATTTTCTGCCATGAGAATGAAATCACACCAGAAAGGAAATACAATTATTCAATGAATAGACAACAGTTACATGGGGATAATACTCCACAAAATATGTGTTATAAAACCTTACATCTATTGCCGATGAAGATGCCCCCTCAGCAGTGGATCATATCGTTGTGATGACACAGAGTCGCCCAACGATTTAATTCCAGGAGCTCACCATTCCTTGTGCTGCTTCCTCCACCATCAAAGCTCTCAACATCTTAATATTCAGAATTGGGGTGATGACATCCACAGCCACACTGAAGTTCTAACCAAAATAAACCATCAAATTCACAGAACTTATTCAAGGGCTTGGATGAAAAGCATCTGTAATCTTCACCACCACAGAAATTCACTTTGAAGGTACATTCTGAACTCAACATTCCCTGTGTTACAAAACCCAAACACCATGCAGAAAGCAATGTGGGGACAACCAATAGTACAAGCTCAAAAAGAGCTGGTAAAATGGGTGGATAAAAATGTCCTGTTTATCCTTCATGAGGAACTGTGGTTGCATCCCCAGAACCCACATTAAAGGCAGGGCAAACCTCTATCACTAAAGCAGAAGATAGGGAAGTCATCAGCTTTGTCCTTGTGTCACTGAGCCCTGAATGTTCAGAACAAAGTAGTATGTGTAGTAAAGGCATGGTGGCAGGAACAGCAAAGGGCTCACATGATCTACAATCAGGAAGCAGGGAATACACTGCAAGTGTCAGTGTCTTTTGAATTCTTAAATTTGCCCAGAGTGATAGACATTCACCACAGGCCATACCTCCTAATCATCCTCAAACCATTCCACCAATGGGAACAAAATTTCAAATAGCCTATGGGGCCATTTTCAAATAGAGCACGACTATTGTTGGTTTCAAAGCTACTGCCCTAGCCCTAGTGACAACAAATAAAAACAGAAGCAAAACAAGGATCATTGCACATACCACAACGAGTTTTCATCCTTTATACACTAAAATATTGGAATTTAAAACTACACTTCTACAGATGACGCGTCTCTTTTTACATTAACATATTGTAGTTGTTAATTATGTCTACTCTTATGAATGCATCTTACTCATTGATATTCATGTGTGTGTATTAATGTGGAAGTGTATATGTGACTATCAGAAGACTGCTTTCAGGAATACGCTCTTTTGCCACCATGTAAGATCTAGGAAAGTAACTGAGATAGTCATGTTTTCTGGCAATAAATCATTGCCAGCTAATGCAGCTCACTGTCCAATCACACTCATCTTTCATACCTCACAATGAAAGCCATTTAACCAATGCACTGTCACATAGTTAATACTGGTGAGAGTTCCATACACTACAGTTTTCACTATGAGATCATTATGGGTTTGAGCAGAATGAGAAACACAGAAATTTGGGAACACAATACTTAAATTGACAGTTTAAATTTTATTCATTCTAAACACTTTGAAAAAAATATTCAAACATAAAGGCTTTTGCCAGTGGGAAAAAATTGACTATAATAGGAACTATACCTGCTAAAGGATTTGCTACAGTTACACATGTAGGACTCTCTCCAGGGTGAATTCTTGAGACTATCATGGCAGCAGCAACTGGCGAAGGATTTTGAGCAATACTTAAATGCATACATCCATTGGGCTTCTTGTCAGTGCAAATTCCTACATGAGGGTTACAGAAACTGGAGGTGGCCAAGGCTTTCCCACCATGCTGAAACTGATAAGGCTCCGCCCCAGTGAGAGGTCTTTTATGCTTGATAAAAATGACAAGAACAAAGAAAGTTTCCCAAATGTTTACAAAGGGTTTCTCTCCATTGTGAATGTTTTAATTACTGTAGTGCCAAGTGGAACTAGTGAAGGCTTTCCCACAATGCTAACAAGTGTTAGCCTACTGACTACCATGACCTGTTTCATGTCTGTTATGATCACCAAAGCAGGTGAAGGCTTTCCAAATGCTTCCATAAATGAGCCTGTCTTTTGAATGAACTCTTTAGTGCCTGTTAAGATCACTAGAGTGAATGATCAGTTTCCCACATCTTACACATAAAGGGTTTTTCTCCATTGGGATTTTTTTCATTCAAGCTGAGAACAAGTAGAAATGTTGAAAGTTTTTCCACAATGTTTACATGCATAAGGCTTCTCTCAAGTGTGCTTTCTTTCATGTCTATTACGACCACATGAGTCACCGAAAGCTTTGCCACAATGTTTGCATGCATAAGGCTTCTCTCCGGTGTGAGTCCGTTCATGTTTGTTTCGATTACTAGAGTCCATGAAAGCTTTGCCACAATGCTTGCATACATAAGGCTTCTCTCCAGTATGAATTCTTCCATGAATGATCAGAGCACTGGAACGTGTAAATTCTTTTCCACAATGCGTACATGTATACAGCTTAACTCCTGTGTGAATACTTTCATGTCCCTTAAGTTCCCTAGAGTCAATAAAAGCTATTCCACAATATTTACATGGATAAGGCATCCCTCCAGTGTGCTTTCTTTCATGTTTTTTACAATTACTGGACTCTGTGAAGGCTTTGCCACAATGCTGGCATGTATGACGCTTCTCTCCGGTGTGCCTTTTTTCATGTCTGTTACGAGTATTGGAGTCCTTGAAAGCTTTGCCACAATGCTGGCATGCATAAGGCTTTTCTCTGGTGTGAGTTCTTCCATGAATGATGAGATCACTGGAGAGTCTAAATGCTTTTCCACACTGCTTACATGCATAAGGCTTCTCTCCAGTGTGAACACTCTCGTGTCTTTTTTGATTACTGAGTTCAGTGAAGGCTTTCCCACAATGCCTACATGCATAAGGCTTCTCTCCAGTGTGCCTTCTTTCATGTGTGTTACGAATCCTGGATTCCCTGAAAGATTCTCCACAATGCCTACATACATAAGGCTTCTCTCCAGTGTGCTTTCTTTCATGTTTGTTACGATTACTGGAGTCACTGAAGGCTTTGCCACAATGCTTGCATGCATAAGGCTTCTCTCCAGTGTGACTACGCTCATGTTTGTTACGACTACTGGAGTCCCTAAAAGTCTCTCCACAATGCTTACATGCATACAACTTCTCTCTGGTGTGAATACTTTCGTGTGTCTTAAGATTCTTAGAGTCAAGAAAAGCTTTTCCACAATATTTACATAGAAAAGGGTTCTCTCCAGTGTGACTCCGTTCATGTCTGTTACGACTGCTAGAGTCCCTGAAAGCTTTGTTGCAATGCTTGCATGCATAAGGCTTTTCTCTCCTATGTATTCTTCCATGAATGATGAGAGTACTGGAGCGTGTAAATGCTTTTCCACACTGTTTACATGCATAAGGCTTCTCTCCAGTGTGAACACTTTCATGTCTTTTTTGACTACTGAGGTCAATGAAGGCTTTTCCACAATACTTACATGCATAAGGCTTCTCTCCAGTGTGCCTTCTTTCATGTTTGTTACGACTACTGGAGTGACTGAAGGCTTTTTCACAATGCTTACATGTATAAGGCTTCTCTCCACTATGAATCCTTTCATGAACATTTAGAATACCAGAGGTGGCAAATGCTTTTCCACAATGCTTGCAAGCATACGGCTTCTCTTCTGTGTGAATGACTTTATGACTCTCAAAACATTCTGCATATGTAAATGTTTTGCTAGATTGCCTACAATTGAACATTTTCTGTCCAATATGACTATTTTCATGGTTGAAAAGCTCACTGGGATCAATGAAGGATTCCTCACAGAGCTTGCATACAAAGTGTTTCACTTCTTTATGGATTCCTTCATCATTCTGGTCATGTAGAGTCTCTCACAGAGTCATTCTCATTGAGTTTGTCTCCAGTGTGACTTCTCTCCTGAGGATGATCAGAAGAGAGACTCCTACAGGCTTCATTACATGGTTGACACTTCCAGGGATTCCCCTTAGAAACTCCAAATACCTGATATGATTCAGAGTGACTAATATCTTTCCGATGTCCCTGATGTCTATAAGGTGTTGCCATAGTTTCCGTACACACAGATGGTATCTGTGTAGTTTGGTCTCTGAGACAGTCCTGTGAGGATGAATGGCCAATGATGTTTCTTACAGGCAGTGGGCTGTCATGAACTCTTACTCCAGGAGGCATATCTTTACTGCTGATATTCTCTGTAACAGCTTCCTGCTTTTTATCACACTCAGTATCACATTCATATCCACAGTCTTCCTCAAGCACTGGAGTTCTACAAAGAATGAGAAAAGCATTAGTGTAACCAAGGGAAATATTATTGGTCAAGGATCTCTTACTCTCTTATCTCTTCCTTAAAAGTTAGCCCAGTTTGTGTACACAATAATTTATATACATACAAGTAAAATAATTAAGAGGCATAAATGGGCTGGGCGTTGGTGGCACACGCCTTTAATCCCAGCACTCAGGAGGCAGAGGCAGGCGGATCTCTGTGAGTTCGAGGCCAACCTGGTCTACAGAGCGAGTGCCAGGATAGGTTCCAAGCTACACAGAGAAACCCTGTCTCGACAAACAAAAAAACAAAACAAAACAAAAACGGCATAAATAAATGGAGTGGATAAGAAGGCAAAAGTTTTCATGATGGGGGCAATCATAAAAATCACATAAGGTGGTGAAACTCTGTGGCCTCTGGCATTCTACATACTAATTAAGCATGTGTTAGTGACTTAGTTATCAACTAGACGAATTGAGGGATGTTAGAGAATAGGGATCCTCAAAGGAGAAAATGACTCAGGTTGGCCTGCAAACAAGTTGTGGAAGCATTTTCACATTCCTGACTGATGAAAGATGGCTTAAATTATGATGTGTTTTTTTGCCATGGTTAGGAGGGCATGAGTTGTGTGTTGGACATTTTGGTAAATTTGACACAAATGAGGACACATGTCTGAGAAGAGGGAACTAGAAAGGAGAAAATGACTTCATCAGATAGAAATTGAGGAATGTCTTCAGGGGCATTTTCCTGACCACTGACTGAGGTGGAATGGCCCAGCCCACTGTGGGTGGGGTTCCCCTCCAGATGTGGGCCAGGATTTAATAAGGCAGGTATCTGAGTAAGGGATGAGGAACACACCAGGATATAGCATTTCTCCATCACCTCTGGTTCAGTTCTTGCCTCTAGATTCCTGCCAGGCTTGAGTTCCTCTCCTGGCTTCAAAAGTGAGTTCCACCACAAACTTTTTCTTTTTTCTTTTTTTTTGCAGGAATAGAAAGCAAATAAACCACAGCACTTATGTTCAAAGGCTCCAAATAATACATAGACATGTGGTAGAGTTGTTTGGATATGAGTTTTGTGTAAAAGCTCTTTCAGAGCTAAATGTCACATTAGTGATATTAATAGATTACACAAATGAGATGCTCAAATATTGAATGACAAGTCCATGCTCCATTACAGGAATTTGTGGAGAATCATTTGTCACTAAGGTGTGTTTAGAACCATTGGCAGGTTCTCAATCATTCCACGATTCCCAAATGTTTGATATAAATTCTGTTCTACTGAATATAAATTACCCCATATTTCTGCTCAGATCTTTGTAGTCCTCTTCAATATTTTCTTCTAGTGTTTTCTCTAGAAGATAATCCAGAGAATACATTATGACATTGTCACATTCAACATAAAAAGTTTAACAACCTAGGTCTAATGATATGGGTGCTAACACTATGTTCACCAAGTATTCACTTCTAATACCAACACTACACACATAAGCAGGACACAATTGTTCTCTAACTGAATAAGCAATGGGAGCATATTGAGTTGTTTTACGTATGGAGATCAGGTTCCAAAATGTCTCCTTCATCACATCTCTGTAGAGCTTCTTTTGACTAGAATCCAACAAAGTCCATTCTTCTAAGGTGAAGTCCACAGCCACATCCTCAAATGTCACTGTCTCCTAGGAGTACATATATTAGGAGGGTTAATTGTAACTGACAGACTGTTAGGATACGGAATCATCTAGTATATATGTTTCTGAAAATCCTCTAACTGATTACACAAGTAGGATTAACTGAAGAATATCTGAGGGATGCTATCTTGATTACTTGATGTAATAAAGAAAGACATCTTGTTTCAGTTACTAATCACCTACCCTTAGGAAGCATCATGACCAAGCATCTCCTATAAAAGCAAACATTTAATTAGGGCTTGTGAACACTTTAGAGGGTCAATTAATGATTATCATTGTTGGAAGCAGAAAGACATGGAGCTGGAACCAATTCAAAACAAGACACATACCAGCTTGATAGGCAGTTTCACAATCATGCATTTTATGGACAATACATACCTTCAGTTGTGATATGCCTATGGTCACTTTCCTCAAAGGGGCCCTGACTTGTAAAGCATGTGGGCAAACTTAAGGGGTGCGGGAGGGTTATGTGGGCTGCGTGAAATCCACCATATGCAGCTCTTACCACTGACACCCCAGTGAGAAGGAATTTCCTTTCTCTGGTGCTTTTTTGGGAATGTAAAGCACCCAGCATTATTCTATATATCATGATTATACAAGAAAATTCATAGTAACAAATACTCTGGAGTGTGTATTTCTTGCAGACTTTGCAAGGCAAGTTTTCTCCATCAGAATTTAATTCTGGGGGCTTATAGCTAGAATATTCATTGCCACTTCTGTAATAGGTGATAATGGCTCTCTGTAGCATGAAAAATAAAAGACCCAGTGACAGATATTGGGTATTAAGCTTCAAGCTGAAGATCAGAAAAACAAAGCAGTCATCCACTAGATCTAACTTCTACTGCAGGCTGAAAGGTGATCCGGGCTCCAACAAACCTCAGACTGAAATCCCAGACTGCTCTGCTCTCCTTGACATGGCTGGAGAATTCTGAGACAGACAACATCTTTTATAGCTCTCTAGTGCTGGGATTAATGGTGTGAACTCTGTTACTCTTTTAGACTGATTCAATCTAGTGTAGCCCTAGATGGCCTTGAACTCTGAGAGATCCATCTGCTTTTGTACCCTGAGTCCTGAGATTAAAGGTGTGTGCCACCACTGCCTGATCTCTATAGCTAGAGACAGACTTTGCCTTCTGAATACTCAGGCAAGCTTTAATAAATCGTAAATAATATAACAGCACATCTTTCAGCAGTGAACATTGATTCCTAGAAGGCCCAGTTATGTTATTATTAGCTCCAGTGATAGTTATGTTCATGCCCAAGTAGCACATTATTTAACACTTGGGATATTGGATGTTCCTATAGTGTTGAACTTCATTTGTAAATTTGACACTTGGATCAAGTCAGTCAAAAATCTGAGAAGAAAGTGTTTGCTCCTTAAAGCCACCCCTAGCATGGAGCAATTGTCCACTTTTAATCCCAGCACTTAGAGCCAGAATCTGCCATATTCCTGACTTTAAAACCACCAAGGAAACACAGCTAATTATAGGACAGCCATAACCACACAGAGAAACAGTTTCACAATCCCAAAAGACAAGGTCAGCCTAGCTAAATAAGGCAATGACAACTGATGGCATGGGGGTCATGGAGAGTCATTTTTCTCCAGTTGTATTGCTACTGGTGGTTTGCACATTTTGGTGAAGATGTCCACACACAGTAATAAAAGAAAGACAGACATGGAAAAAGACACATGAAATGAAGAGTCAGTTATGCTTGTGTTATAAGAGGAAGATATGATTAGCATAAATCATTTATGTTTAGTAAACATATATTTAAAAGTTTCTCTGTCTTTAAATACCAAAACAATAAAAATGTATATTTGAAGGTCTAGGATACTGGCAAGTAAGTCAACTGCTTGCCATATAAATCTGGAAGATGTGTGCAAAAGTGAATACTTACCATTGGTGGGAATATAAACTGCTACAGTTTCCAAGCTAATCAGTGTGAACTTGCCTCAAAAATTGAAAACTGGAAATGTCATCTCACCAAGATACACCTCTCTGGACTTTACTGAAAACACTCCAAAGACTACAACAGATACATGCACTCATGGTCATTGATGCTGTAGTCTGAATACCTAAATATGATTCAGCCTGGATCTCCATTACCTGATATCCACATGATGGAGATACAGCACATAAATACAGTAGTTTCCACTGAGCAACTGAAATGAAATTTGCAGCAATGGAAGTAACTGGAAATGTAATTATACTGAGTGGGGTAAGCTAAGTCCACAAAGTCAAACACTGTCAGTTGCTCTTATACCTGATTCCATCTTTCTCCTCTTACCCATTTGTTTCAAAACCAGAGTGAGCAGGAGAACAGAAGGAGGAGAAGAAAGGACCCATGAGACCTGTGAGTGCTGAAGATGGCTGCACAGAGACAGTGGGATGCACGTGGCATGAGTAGAGAGGTAGATGTACTTAGGGATGGGATGCAGAGAATAGGAATGGGAAGAGAAGACGGGGGTGGGTGGGTTCAAGGTTCAGGGTTTTGTCAACTCTACTGTGTCCTTATACCAAAAACAAACAAACAAACAAAAACCAAAAATCAGGGCATGGTCATGGGAACCTTCAATCCTAGAATTCGTGACACAAGGGGGATGACATCTGAGTCCAACACCACAAGTTCTAAGGCTACATAGAGAAAACTTGTCACCAAAAATAATAAAAATGTAATAATTATAATTTAAAAATTAACTGTGTATTAATATCAAAGTAATTACACACATAGCAATAAATTCATTATGACTATAATGTATACTCAAGTCCATCTTCAAATACAAAACATTTTCCCAGCAAGTACAAGGCACACTAATGTTTCCTAAGTTTTCAAACAGTCAGAAAATACACTATTCACAAACCAACTATCTGAAGGCTAAAGGAAAGATTGGTAATGTGAACACTTTTTCCAAAGATATTATAGTTTACAAAATTGACAGTCCCAATCCCTTCTGCTTACAGCAGCCTACAACCAAAGAAGCAGCAGAAACAAATATACTATGCCAATTCCATGAAGCTACTTGACAGTGTCAATGGCCTTTTCATGCTCAACACTGTCACAAATAGTTTCCAAATTTTCAACTTCACCCCCACAGGCACGTTTTTTTTGTTTGTTTGTTCTTTGTTTTTTGTTTTTTGTCTGTTTTCCCCCCTTTACTAAATCATGATGGGAGAGGACTGAATTATTCCTTCTGTAAGAGGGGTTTAAAATTCTCAGTCACAATGACACCAGCTGGATGTTTTTTGCACTGACCATTTCTGATGCAAAAGTTGGTTGTTTTTTGTTGTTGTTTTTTTGTTTTTTTTTTTTTTTTTTTTTTTAAAATTTTTCCCACAAGTTGTACCAGACTTGCCCTTGGTGATCCCTGTGAAGGGGATCATGGCCCTGGGATTGGATTGTTGCTTGTTTGGTTGGTTTACTCTCTGCTGCTTCTTTAAGTAGAAGCAATTGAATAATGGAGTACTCAAGCAGTACTTCATATGCTTTCTTATTATTTTCAATAGTGTTAGAAGTCATGGTTGGTTATAACGATGGAAGGAAGGAAGAGAGAGAGAGGGAGGGACACAGCAAAAGAAAAAGACACCAGAAATTAAGATGAAGGTTTTCTGAGTGGAAACACTAGATTAAATTAACTTACATCACATGTTTAGGAAATTCCCTATATTAAATATATATTTAAAAGGTTTTGTTGGGAGTTTGAATAGTGAAACAATAAAACAAAAGGCTGCAGGACTAGGATGCATACACATAAGCAGGTACACATTTTCCATGCAAACCTGAAGATCTTACACCCTCTGGAGAAAGAGTGGAAAAGTGAACACTGACCAGTGATTCGGGTTTGACTTGCTGCAATTAGGAAGCAAATCAGTGTGAACTTGCCTCAAAAGTGGAAAACAGACACACTGTTCCACCAGTTACACATCTCTCCCCATGAAAAAAGTCCACACACTACAACACAAACACACACTCATGGTCACTGCTGCTCTAGTGCCAACAGTTAAAAGAATCGCCTGGATGCTCCTCGGCTGATGTCTGCACTATGGAGCTGTGGCACATGTGCACATTAGAGTCCACGCAGCAATGACAAAACAAGTGAACTTTTCAGTCAGATGGACATTACTGGAAATTAATTATACAGAGCCAGTTAATTCAAGGCCACAATGTCAGGCACGGCGTTTACAAGTGTTTAATCCCAGAATGCTTGAGGCAGATAAGAGTGATCTCTGAGTTCAGGGTAAGCCTGGTCAAAGGATTTCCAGGGCTACACAGAGAAAACCTGTCACCAAAAATAAACAAACAAAATCAAGAAAAGAAATATTGCCATATTAACTATAAATTCAAAATAAAATTAAAGGCTGGGCGGTGGTCGAACAAGCCGTTAGTCCCAGCACTTGGGAGGTCCAAGGTAGGCACATCTCTGTGAGTTCAAAGCAAGCCTAGGGCTGGAGAGATGGCTCAGCGATTAAGAGCACTGCCTGCTCTTCCAAAGTTCCTGAGTTCAATTCAAAGCAACCACATGGTGGCTCACGACCATCTGTAATGAGATTTGGTGCCCTCTTCTGGCCTGCAGGCATACATGCAGGCCAAACACTGTACACATAGTAAATAAATAAATCTTAAAAAAAAAAAAAAAAAAAAGCAAACCCAGTCTACAGATCTACTTCCAGGATAGCTAGGGCAGTTACACAGAGAAACACTGTCTCAATAAATAAATAAATAAATAAATAAACCGAAAATTTAACCATACACAATAATAAATTGAAGTTTTTCTTCACTCAGGTCAACTTTCATGTAAAAAACCATTTTTCCATCGGGTAGAAAGCACACTTGTCTTTGTCTCACATGAACTTTCTACAGTTTCCCGAGGGGACAGAAATTACACTGTGTACCAAAATCACCTATCTGGAGGCCAAAGGAATGAGATGAAATATTAATATTTTTTCAAAGGGCTTCAATATTAGAAAGTACTTTTTACAGAATTTGCATTCCCAATCACTTCTGTCTAAAGAAGCCTATAGCCAAACAAGCAGCAACCACAAAAACACAATTTCATGAAGCCCTTCGCCAATCTCGACCACCTTTTCACATTCTGCAACTTTTCAATTTTGTCTTTGCTTTTTGTTTTTTTGTTTTTTTTTTTCCAGACAGGATTTCTCTGTATTGCTTTGGAACATGTCCTAGCACTCGATCTGTAGACCATGCTGGCTTCAAACTCACAGATATCCACCAGTCTCTGCCTCCCAAGTGCTGGGATTAAAGGCGTGCGCCACCAATGCCCTACATTTTTCAAAATTCTAATTGGAGGCTCAAAAAACAAAACAAACAAACAAAAAAAAACCTCACTGCAAGCAAAATATGAAGCATATTTAATTTTTTTGACTGGTAATTTTGAACAACTGCTGTGAGGAAAACTAGGAAAAAAATTCTAAATATTACTAAAAAAAGAAAAAAAGGAAAGGAAAAACTGGGGATAAAAACATGTAGGATGTGGTGATAAGACTTACAGACACAGCTCTGTGTAAAATTTGACCAACACCAGGAGGCATGGGGACCAATTCTGAGGCTGACCAGTTGGGGGAAGGGACTGCAGGAGCCTGGAAAGATCTCAATGGTGATAATTAAAAGAACCTAAATCAGACAAAACAGAAGCACAAAAGGAGAAGGGAAACTAAGGAAAACGCAGGCCCTACAGAGGACAGTAAGGAGTCAGCATCGCCAACAGCCAGTACTGGGAAATATGTGCAGCTGAAGATTCATTGCAAGGATTAAACAGAGGGGACTGGGGACTGCCTGGAAGCAGTTTCATCAGGACAGAAAAGTGGGAAACAGGGGCTCAAGGCTGCCGCCTGTGGGGTTCTCACTTGAAGAGCAGGTGGGCACAGGCATGCCTCCTGGGCAGACTCCACCTCCCACTGGACTGCACAGCTCCAGGGGGAAATGCAGCTGCTGGTGCTGCAAAGGAGCAAATGTCCCAACCCACCTCTCAGGATCCCAGCAGCCCAAGGCACACTCACCATTTCGTGCTTCTGATGTGTCTAGGTGTCTCCCAAAGAGGCCTGAGGTCAGCAAAACAAACAGTCACCAAACTAGGTCCTCAGAAGGATTCCCTCACCTGAGCCAAAATTTACATAGGATTTCTGGAAAGAGCACTCACTGTGAGAATCTGTGCTATTCATTGGACAGTTCATTGCTCTTAGTAATGTCGTCCATGATTGGCCAACTCTACTCACTCCACCCCCTCAGCCTAAAGGTTCTAAAACTTTTAGGAGGTACCAGGTTCAAGCCTTTGATGGAAGGCAGACCTCTGAGGAAGTGAAGTCATTTAGGGGTGGATGGTGAGACCCTGACTCAAAACCAAACGAACATTACAGACATTCTCGTCCTTTTGGTTGGTTAGAAAATTAGTGCTCTGTACATTCCAAAGGAGAGTGCTCTTCTACTGTACATTCCAAACGATTTACATAATAGTCAGAACGTTGTTAGGTCAGGTACAGAATGTGACCACAGATGGCTGTTCGGAGGGCTAAGAAGGGTCCAAGGTAATGGACTTGTGACACTCCAAACTCTTTCTCATGCCTGATGCTCTGATCCGTGAATCAGCCCTACAGAAGGTTCGGCTGTAGCCGAACATTCATCATCCCGGACCCTGCAAACTCCAGGACGTTCTTCCCGACGCTGTGTCCAGACTGAGCTAAGGACCTCTCCTCACCTGACATCCTGCCTTGTGTTCCTAAGGTACTGAGTGTGGTTGCTGCCCCATCAAACTCGTGACACTATGTCTAAGTGGAAGAACTAAATACACCCGGGAAGCGGCTCTAAACACTCTAGTTTTCCTCAAACACAAGGTTACTCCAGGTTAGACCAGGCTTATTTATTCTAGGAGGGAAACAGAGGTAGAAACAGATCACTGGGGAAACCTGTGGTTACAGCTGTAACCCTGCAGGGAAGGCTAATTTCCAGTTTATAAAATGCTTCCCACCCACAACCTACAATCTCCCAACCCTCCCAAATTCCCATCGTCCCCACCCCATCCCCTTCACCTTGTTTGTCATTCCCCAACCAGGGACGATGCTGTTATGACTTCGCGTTAACTGTCCAATGAGAAGCACGGATATTCGGGAGGTGTGGCCGTTAACGCCATGTTTGAGTCCCTGAAGCCATTGAGAGGTCCCCCCCACATTGGTGACCATGCCTCCTGCTGATGGTAGGCCCTTTACCGGGGACACCTGGTTGCATCAGAAGCAGGAAATGGTGAGTGCGCCCCGGGTCCCTGGAGTCCTTAGCGGCAGGGTTGTGGCACTGCTGCGGCTTTGGTGTAACGTGTCACCGCCGCCCTGACGCTGTGCAGCTGAGTCTGCATTGAAGGAGCTGCACCGTCTCACCTCCTGCTCTTAAAGTGTGAGCAGAGCAAGAGGCAGGGAGGCTGCGATCCTGCCATGTCGCTGTGAGGTAGCTTCACTCCGCTCCAGGTCCTGTAGGGTTGCATAGTCATCTTGAATTTGAGTCAGGGCAGACTTGCAAAGCCAGGGCAGTTTATGCCGCTCAGATGCCAGGCTGTGCTGTGAAGCACATGGATGCTGAGCGCCTTTGCGCACTCTCCCCAGAGGTATTTTCCCTGGGTCATAACATGATTTGGCTTTTGTGTTTTGGTTTGGTTTGGTTTGGTTTGCTTTTGATAATGGTGCAAGAAGTTCCTAGCTGAGGATGGGTCAAAATTTACAGGTTTGTAGGAAGGAAAGAAATCTAAACTTGTTTTAGAATTGTTTCAGTTTAGCTCTTACTTTCTGAGGCATTAAGTGAGATTTTGGGGAAGCTTTTCCCAGCCTCCCTTATAGTGAAGAAAGCCTGGACAAGGATATCAGATCAAGGAACTCCTACTTCAAGATGGAAGTCACTTCTAAGAAAGCAGGTCTGCAGCCCGGGGACACATGGCTTTGCCTTCACACCCTGGGCTCTCATTGATAAGAGTTAACTGTCTTTTCAGAATCCTCAGACTGAACCTCTGACACTGAAAGCCTGCACTTCAAGAAATGTTTTTCTTTATTAGAGTTTGGATGGTCATTGTGTCTCTTCACAGAAATAGAAACCATAAGGAAGACAGAAGTCGGTACAAGCGACTGGGATATTGGTGTGATCGGCCTGACTATGGAGGATATGGACTTAGGTACTTTGCATTAGGAAAGCAGTTGGAATGCTTTAAGCACTGCTTAATGGGCTGGATTAATGGTAGCATAGAGGACAGTGGTAGTCCTATTTGAACTGTGGATGCTGGCTCAAGAGGCTTCAGAGGAAAAGGATATTAATGCATGGCCTAGAGATTGATCTTGTGATACTTGGGATAAGAGTGTCACTGCCTTTTGCCCTTGTTTGAAGTCTGCTGAGACTAAAGTGAAGGAATTTCTATTAACTCCACTGGCAGAGGAAATTTCTAGACAGCCTAGTATAGACTCTGTCTTGTGGTTTCTAGTGTTCATGTGTGTTAAGACTTATAACGAAAAGTAGCAAGTGGAGCAAATATGAATACAAAATGTACAGATTGAGAAAAGGGGTACCAGGAAGTGGAATAGAGCTAAATGTTGTGTTTAAGGAGATAAACCGATTAGGCAATGGAATAAAGGGAGTGATAACGTCAGGGCAAGATCCCAGACAGCAGCTGGGTGGTGGTTGGGCACACCTTTAGTCCCAGCATTTGGGAGGCAGAGGCAGGCAGATATCCCAGGAGGCATGAGGCAAAATTGCCAACAACTGAAAAGGAATTAAAGAAAAGCTTAGAGCCAGTGTAGTACACACCTTTAATCCCAGCATTCAGAAGGCAGAGGCTGGCAGATCTATAAGTGTGAGGCCAGGCTGGTGTACTGAGCAAGTTCTAGGAAAGCCAAGCTTTGGAATCAAGATCAGAAAGCTGGTGAACATGAATTGAACTAGGGAACCATGTTCCAGCTCCAGCAAGCAACAGGACACCTCAGCTGTGGCTCTAGAGTTAAGGATAGAAGAAACAGTTTATGGAATGTGCCTCCACTTCTAAGGAAATCAGTTTTACTTTGAGAAATTGTTAAAATTATCCAGATATTGTGGCCTTGGCTATAATTCCAACACTCAGGAATAACACCAATAATAAAAACGTAGAAACAGATATTAGGGTTCAAGCTGAGGATCAGATAAGCAAAGGAGCTGGCTTGTAGCTCTTACCTCTACCTCAGACTGAAAGGGTGATCTGTATAGCTCCCCAAATCCCCAGACTGCAATCCTAGACTACTGCCTCTCCTCAACTTACCTGGAGATTAATTCTCTAAGACTGACTTTGTTATACCTCTCAAATCCTGGAAGTAAAGGCATGTGATCTGAAGTGCTGAGACTGCCTTTGCGTGAGCTGTTTCTCATTAGGACTGGATCAATTTCATGTAGCTCAGTGTGGCCTTGAACTAACAGAGATCTGGCTCCTGAGCTTGGAGATTGAAGGTGTGTGCCACCACTGCCTGACTCTATAGCTTGTAGTATGGGTGCTGGCATTAAGGGTGATTATCAGCACTGCCTGGCTCCGTGGCTTGTGGCTAGCTTCCCTTTCTCAACTCTCAAGCAAGCTTTATTAAATCACCACACTCAGGATTTGAGGCAGGAGAATCCCAACAAATTTGAGGTCAATTTTGTCTCCCTTACAACTTCAAGGCCAGATAAAACAAAAATAAGAAACTAACAAACAAATAACATTCAAAGTATATTTAATAAAATTTACAGTAAATATTTATTGTATGTATTAATAGATTTCATTATGACATACTATGCGTTCATCATATCCACCCTTCCAGATACTGTTTTATTCACTCATCTTTTTTTCCACAAAAGATCCCCATGTCCACTAATAGTCTCCCTATTAGCTGTCATGTTTTGTTTGTTTGTTTCGAGACAGGGTTTCTCTATGGCTTTTGAGGTTTTTCCTGGTATACAAGGTTTTTCTTTGTATACAATGCTGGCCTTGAACTCACAGAGATCTGCCTGCTTCTGCCTCCCTAGTCCTGGGATTAAAGGCCTTAGCCACCAACACCCAGTATCTGTCATGAATTTTTGTTGTTATATTGTTCCTGTATTGTACTTTCCACATATGAAATAAGCACATGATAGTTTTCTTTGTCTGGATGATTTCACTTGAGATGTCATAGTATAATCCGTTTTCCTAAAAGTTTTTGCTCTATCTTATGGGCAAATAATAGTCAATTGTACATATGTAAGCATGTATGCATGCATGTCTATATCTGTCTATAGACATATAGTATAGTACATTTACCATAGTCTGTTCAATTGTTCATATGTTGATGAGAACTACAATGATTCCATATCCTAGATATTTTTGAGCATTGCTACAATAAACATGAATGTGCACACATTTCTTTGTATACATAAATTCTTTACCTTGTATAGCAAAGAAGGCTATTTTTGGTTCAATGATTGGTTCAATTTTGAGGTTTGGTTTTTTTTTTTTAATTCATGAAATGCTATACTTTATTTTCACAATACTTGTGTTACTTTACATTCTTACTAACAAGTTCCTTTTTCCTATATCTTGGTTAGCATTTTGTATGTTTTAAAATAATAGTCATAGTAAGAAGGATGAAATAGAAACTGAATATAACTTTGGCTTCAATTTCCTTGTTGGTAAATAATGTTGACCATCTTCCCCAACATAAAGTATTTGTAATATATATATATATATATATATATATATATATATATATATACACACACACACACACACACACACACACACACACATCATTTGGGGTGGTTGAGACAGGGTTTCTCTGTGTAGCTTTGGAGCCTATACTGGCACTTGCTCTGTAGACCAGGCTGGCCTCGAACTCACAGAGATCCGCCTGCCTCTGCCTCCTGAGTGCTGGGATTAAATGGGTGCACTACCAACGCCCGGCCAAAATATGTATATTTTTATTATGTATTTCTGTAAGCAGGCATCCATGTGCTTTAGTACACATACAGAGGTTGAAGGATAATTGGAAGTCAGTTCTCTCCTTCCACCATGTGAGTGAGTATGGGTGATTCGGCTGTAGCTGTCGGTATTGGTGGCAAGTTTACACAAAATGCCATCCCACCACACTCGTTTCACATTAAAGATCCACACAAACAAGATTTTATTTATTTACTATGTATATAACATTCTGCTTCCATGTATATCTGCACACCAGAAGAGGGCACCAGATCTCATAACGGATGGTTCTGAGCCACCATGTGGTTGCTGGAAATTGAACTCAGGACCTTTGGAAGAGCAGTCAGTGCTCTTAACCTCTGAGCCATCTCTCCTTTCCATGATTCAGTTTCTTAAGCAGATGGAAGTGCAGATCTGTTTAGTCATACCTAGCTTCAAATGTACTCCTTTTTAATTTTTCGGGTTATTATTTATGTATGAGTCTTTTAACCTCCATGCATGCATGTGGACCATGTAAGTACCTGGTACCTGTGATATTAAGTGATGGAACTCTTGGAGTTAAGATAGTTGTGACCCACCATGTGAATGCTTGGAATCAATACCAGATCCTCTGTAAGAGCAACAAGAGTTCTAAACTGCTAAGTCATCTCTCTAGCTCTGCTAATGTATTTATTAATGAGTATACTCAAATTAACTACACATGCTCATCCTTTTCATCAACAAATTTAACGGTACAGACTCTCAAAAAGCCCATCCTTATCCTTTGGTCCAAAATTCTCATTCCATACAGAAAAATTTTGTGGTGACATTTGGGACAATAATTTCTTTCATTACTTTTAGCACATTATATGTGCAGAAAGTGTGTATGCATCTCAACCATTTTGTATGTCTGCACAATCTTTATATTAATTCAACTGTACTCAGTTGAGGCTAACATAAAGTCTTTTTTAATATTGTGTTCCAACACAATACTATGACCATGGAGTCTAGCTCTTTCCCTGTTATCTAATTCGAGTATCATAATCCTGTAAATGGAGTTCTTAATTGGTCTAAATAATAAAAAGCTAGAGTCAGATATAGAGGGAAATGCAGAGAGATCAGACAGAAAGAGCAAGCCACAGCACACCTTACCTCCTAAGCGTCTCAGCAGACCAGACAGTGATTTCCTGTTTGTCTCTACTTATATCCTGTTTCTGCCCAGCTACATTACTTCCTGTCTGTCTGTGCAGACCTCCAGACCTCTATGGTTAGCAAGCTCCATTCTCTGACTCTTAGACAGGCCTTTTTTGTACAAACAAGATATTACCACATCATCCCACTGTCTGGAGGAAAGACTTTTATTGGTGTGATGCTCACCTCCTCAATCCCATTTTATTCACAACATGGTGGGGATGAGAAGAAAAGAGACCTTGAGGAATTCCTTCTTCCTCTAAGTCTTCTCCAGCCCTCTGGCTGGACCTGGATTTGGGACAGTAGTTATAGTAGATGGCATCACTTCAGTGTCTGAGTTTTTTCCAATTTTGTCAACATCTGTTTCCCATCCTCTCCACTCGTTTTTCAAAACTGTGTCCAATGTGGTGGCACACACATTTAATCCCAGCACTTGGGAGGCAGAGGTAGGCAGACCTCTGTGAATTTGAGGCCAGCCTGGTCTACAAAGCAAGTTCCATGACAGTCAGTGGTGCTATGTAGAGAAGCCCTCAAAAAAACCCTTAAAAATTTAAAGAAGCCCCATGAAAGACATTCAAATTCCTCCAGGCTCAGCACTTCTAGAAATGCATATTGAAAAATGAATCCTTTTCCCAAACTTTGTACTTTGCTTAACCGTCTGTGCTGTTTTGAGTTAGCTAATTGTGTGTTTGTGTGTGTGTGTGTGTGTGTGTGTGTGTGTAGCCACATCTACAGTGATGCACAGTACCCCATCTCATTAGAAATAAAACCTAATAGGACTTCCACTGTATATGCTTGCCTGCTTGATTTGACATGGCTGTATATCCTTCTGCAGAAGTAAAACTTTTTTGCATTGCCAAATTACTTTGAATTCTGTGGTCATTTCCTTGAAACCCAAAATCCTTTTCTAGCCCTTCCTTCCATCCTTACTTTCTTCATCATTTCCCTGTTGCCCATTGTAGCTGCAAACATGAATTTTCCCTTCTCCTCATTTCCAAGTTCTGGGATTCTAAATGTTCAACACTTAATTGTAATTATTACATGGAAAGAGGATTTATTAGGATGGCTTACAGAATTTGGTTCAGCTAGTCCAACAATGACTATCTCCCAATGGAAGGTCCAAGCCTCCAGTAGTTGTTCAGTCCACGAGGCTGAATGTCTCAGCTGGTCTTCAGTATATTCCAGAATCCTGGCTATAGCACCAGTGAAGTAAAGCACTTGCTACTGAGAGTGAAAGCAACAGACAATGTAATTATTTTTTATAACTCTTAGCTCACATAAAAATAGTTTGTGGATATGATTGCATTTTAAGAACAGTAATTACCTGCCAGTTTGGAGGCTCAGGTAAAGTATGTTAGAGTTTTCATTTTCTTGTTTATAAGCAAACTGTTGGGGACTCTTAAGATTTTTCCTTAAAGAATTGGATTTTACATTTCTTTCTCTTTTAAATTGTCAAAGTTGGCACAGAGTAAGTCAGTAACCTGGAGTGCCTGGCTGACAGTCCCTAACCTTAGGACCTACCTTCAGTCTAAAACCAGGTGATGTTCACTTAGAACTTAGTCACTCTTAGGTACTACAAACCAGATTAGGTGTCAGGAGTCACCTGTTGTAAAATGCATATGTGTGTATGTCATATGTATTTGTTATTGTGTGTTTTTGCATGTGTTCCTGTGTGTTCGTGTATGAGAAGGACAGAGGTGCATGCAGGGTGCTTTCCTCAATTGCTCTCCACATTTGTATTTAAGACATATTCTCTCACTGAACCTGAGGCTTATCAGTTGCTGAGATGGGCTGGCCCAGAAGCATTATAGATCCCCTAGATGTGTCCCCATTCCATAACCCTAGGTCTAGAAGAGGTCATGAGGTCAGCCCAGGCAGGGCATGTTGTAGGCCTAGAAATGCAAACTAAAGAGTTTGGGATGAGACAAATAACCAAGTTTTCTCACATCTTTTGTTTTACATTATCCATTTTCTGCCATGAGAATGAAATCACACCAGAAAGGAAATACAATTATTCAATGAATAGACAACAGTTACATGGGGATAATACTCCACAAAATATGTGTTATAAAACCTTACATCTATTGCCGATGAAGATGCCCCCTCAGCAGTGGATCATATCGTTGTGATGACACAGAGTCGCCCAACGATTTAATTCCAGGAGCTCATTCCTTGTGCTGCTTCCTCCACCATCAAAGCTCTCAACATCTTAATATTCAGAATTGGCAATGCATCTCTCATCTTGACCACCACAGAAATTCACTTTGAAGGTACATTCTGAACTCAACATTCCCTGTGTTAGAAAACCGAAACACTGTGCAGAAAGCAGCGTGGTGACAACCGCTATTACAAGGTCAAAGATGAATTGGTGATATGGCTTGATAAAAGTGTATGTTTCATCCTTCATGAGGACCTGACCGCCTCGGTCTCTAAAGCTGAAGATAGAATTGTTATCAGCTTTGTCCTTGTGTCTCTGAGCCCTGAATGTTCCGAACAAAATAACTGTGTGTGTGTGGGGGGGGGGGGGGGGGGGAGTGGAAAACTCAAGAACATTTCGCTGAGACGAGGAACCAAGCGTGAGTTGAAAACTTCCCGGAGTATAAATAGAATGACACCCCAGTATATTCCGGGTTTACTTCAGGTAAAAGAAGCCAGACTTAGGGAGGTCTTTTAGTCAGAGCTCTTTAGTCACTGGATCTTCAGAGCAGGAAAGGTCGATTTAAGGAGGCGGGTTTGCGTCCCTCACCAATCAGAGACGCGGTTACTCTCCCGCACGGACTGTCCAATGAGGAGCGCCGTTAGTTAGGGGGTGCCGCCATTGCCGCCCCGTTTGAGTCCCGAGTAGCTGCCGGGAGGCCGCTGAGTGATTGTCCCGGCTGCTCGCGCCGCCTGCTCCCGCAGGCCCTTTGGGAAGGACACCTGCGCACGCCCGGCGCGGAAAATGGTGAGTGGGCCCTGGAGTCGTGCGCGGCGGGTCTGTGGCACTGCGGAGGCTTTGTCACTTACTGTGGCGCCGCCGCCCAGACATCCCCGGGCGCTGTCCTGCAGAGGCTGAGGTGCAGGCTGTCACCGCCGCCCTCCAACCCACGTGCGTGTTAACCGGTGGCACAGCAGGCAAGGGCGAGCCTGGGTCCAGTCCCCTGGGTGCCGCCCCGCCCCGCCCCCCTCAAGCTGTGTCATCTGGTCCCCGTGCTCGCGGGGTGAGACTGCGCCTCCCCAGACCTCGCATCGCTGATGATGCTCTGTAGAGTCAAGCTGCCTGCCGGGGAGGGGCGTCAGTGGTGACCGCTGTCACCCGCTTTTAAAGTATTGGCCATCGAACCTCCGCCTGTGCTCGTTCTCAGCAAACGTTTTACCCCTGAACCGGAACCCCGTCCCGCCCCCTGGTTTTTGCTGTTTAGTGTTAGTGCAGGTGGATTTGTTTGCTCCTTCCAGCTGAGAGTGGGAGAAAATGCCCAGGCTTTCAAGGAAGAGGGTATTTTCACTTTTACTTCGAAATTGTTTCTTTCACCTATCAGTTTGGCAGCGAGTTGTCTAGGCAAAAGTGGAATTTTTAGAAAATGTTCCCAGCATTGCTGGCTGTGGACAAAAAGAGCATGAGATGAGGGGAATAATTTAAATATATAAGAAAGAAATGTTGTTTGTTTTGCCCCAGACTTGAACAAATAGAAGGGATTGTGGGGTGGAAGTTTTTCTTATGTATGTTTCAGTCTCACTGTTTCTTAATATGCTTAAGTTATTTATATCCTCTTCATTTAATTTTAGCATATTGTATGTGAGTCAGAATTTAACCACTTAATTTAACACATTATACTTTTTCTTTTATTTATTTATTTTGGTATGTGTTCAAGTATTACCAATGGTCCTCTGCATTTCACTAGAATCTCTTGTAACCTCCCTAATTTATGAATCATTTTATTAATTTGTATCATCCTCCCCCCTTTAAAGACTTATTTATTACGTATACAATGTTTTATTGTATATACAGCATTCTATCTGCATATATCCCTGCAGGCCAGAAGAAGGCATCAGATCTCATTGTAGATGGTTGTGAGCCACCATGTGGGTGCTGGGAATTGAACTCAGGTCCTCTGGAAGAACAGGCAATGCTCTTAACTGCTGAGCCATCTCTCTAGCCCGTTTTATTAGCTTGACTAGAGTTTTGCCTATCTTACTGTTTTTTAAAAGAACCACCTGTGAAATTTGAATTTGACTATATTATATTTTGAGTTTCTATTTCATTCATTTCTCCCCATATCTTTTCTATTTCTTTCTGTCTTTGCTTTTGAAACTGGCTGGTTCTTGTTTTCCTAAGACCTTGTGTTTGCATCAAGTTGAATTGTTTGTTTCACGTGTCTCTGTGTGTCTGAGGTGAAGCTGAGGTTACTTTTTCTTTTCTTTTTTGGCTCGTTAGTCTCTTTAATGAAAAAAAAATAAAACAAGGATGGACTTAGAAGGTAACCAGAGTACAATTTAATAGAGTTTGAAGGGGAAAAGAAAACCCAACAGGAGAGGCGATCTTTAAATATTGGCATTTGTCATGAGCTAGCAAAGAGGACAAAAATCATGCCTTTTAATTTTGATATGGAGATCACAGAAACAGTGAAGAAGCCCAGAGTGTTAAGGAAAGCATACTTTCTAAATGTTAAGACCTGGGTCTGAGTTCAGAGGGGACCGGATCCTAAGATCTTGTTTCCCAGAGCAAAGGATTACACTAGAGACACATGGTTAGAAACTGAAAATAGATAGCTACTGAGAAAGGGAAGATAATCCAAATGATTCTGCTTCTCTGAACTCTGGGGGAAGGATTTTATGGAGACATTCCATTAGGGTTGAGTGCTCCAAGGTCTCATTTTCTGAATAATGTTTGGCTGTGGGTCTCTATTTGTTCCCATATGCTGAAGAAGGCTACTCCAAAGATGGCTAAGCAAGGCACTGATCACAGATCTCTGGGTCTGGGACACCTCACTCACTAATTTTTTTTCCTAGTTCCATCCATTTGTCTGTGAATTTCATTGTTTCTTTTTGGTTTTTTGAGGCAGAGTTTCTCTGTAGCTTTGGAGTCTATCCTAGAACTCACTCTCTAGACCAGGCTGGCCTTGAACTCACAGAGATCCACCTGCCTCTGCCTCCTGAGTATTGGGATTAAAGTTGTGCGCCACCACCGCCTGGCTTGCACCACCATCAATTCTTTTTTTCTTAATGGTTGAGTAATACTCCATTTTGTCAATGTACTACAATTCTTTGTATTCATTCTTTTGTTGAGGGATATCTAAGTTGTTTTAAATGTCTGGCTTTTATGAAGAGAGCAGTAAAGAGTGTAGTTAAGGAAGTAAGTGTTCTTGTGTAGGATAGATACAGTGTCCATTGAGTATAAGTCTAATAGAGAAACCACCACACTGTTTTCCATAGTGGCTATACAAGTTTGTCCTCTCACCAGCAATGGGTGAATGTTCCCCTTACTCCACATCTTCCTAGCATGAGCTGTTACTTATTTTATTGATTTTAGCCATTCTGAGATGGGTAAGGTAGAATAGCAAAGTAGTTTTGATTTGCATTTCCCTGATAGCTAAAAATGTTGAACATGTCTTTAAGTGTTTCTCAGCTTTTTTGATTTTCTCTGTTTTGAGCTGTACCTGATTTTTAGTTGGGCTATTTGTTTTCTTGTGTTTTGAGTTCTTTATATATTTTGGATATTAGTCCTTTATCAGATATGGAGTTGGTAAAAATCTTTTCCCATACCCAAGATACAGCTTTGTCTGAATGTTAGTGTTCTTTGCTTCTCATTTTCATGAGGTTCTTTTTAATTGTTGACTTTAGTGCCTGTGCTAATGGTATTTATTCAGAAAGGTTTGTTTGTTTGTTTGTTTGTTGTTGTTGTTTTGTTCTGTTTTTTCCTGTGCCAATGAGTTCAAGGCATTTTACCACATCTTCTTTTGTCTGGTTCAGTGTATCTGGTTTTTGCATTGAGATCTTTGATCCATTTGGAATGAGTTTTTTTGCATAGTGATAACTATGAAAGTGTTTAGATTTTTCAACATACAGCCATCCAGCTTGACTAGCACTATTAATTGAAGTTACTGTCTTTTTTCCAATGTATATTTCTGGCTTCTTTATAAAAAATAAGGGCCTTCATTGATCAACTAGTCTCTCCCAATATGTTGTTTTTTATTCCTATAGCTCTGTAGCACAGCTTGAAATTGGGGGTGGTGATACTTCCTGCAGTTCTTTTATTGTTTAGAATTATTTTAGTTATCCTGTATTTTTGTGTTTCCATATTAAGTTGAGAATTGTCCTTTGAAGATCAGTAAGTAATTGTATTGAAATTTTGATAGGGATTGCATTGAATCTGTAGAGTCCTTTTGGTAAGGTGACCATTATTAATCCTGCTGATCCTTGAGCTCAAGAGACCTTCCCAACTTTTAATATTTTCAATTAAAGTTTTTATCATACAAGTCTTTCACTTATTTTGTTAGAGTTACCTGAAGATATTTCCTATTATTTCAGGTTTTTGTGAAGGGTGCTGTTTCCCCGATTTCTTTATCAGACCATTTTTTATTTGTATATAGGAGGGTTACTGATTTTTGTGAATAAATTTTGTATCCAGCTAATTTGCTGAAAACATTTATCAGTTGTAGGAATTCCCTGGTGGAATTTTTAGGATTACTTACATATAGTATCATATTGTCTGCAAATGGAGATACTCTTGGATTTCATTTTCAATTTGTATATCCCCTTGATCTCCTTTAGTTCTCTTATTGCTCTAGCTAAGCCTTCAAGTACTATATTTAATAGGTTTGTCTTGTTCCTGATATTAGTGAAATTGCTTTGAGTTCCTCTCCATTTAAGTTGATGTTGGCTATGGGCTGTAAACTGCCTTTATTATTTTCAAGCATTTTCCTTTAATCCCTTATCTCTCCAGGATTTTTATTCTGAAGGGGTGTTGGATTTTGTCAAAGTCCATTTCTGTATATAATGGCATGATAGTGTGGTTTTTAATCTTTCAGTTTGTTTGTCTGGCAGGTTAGTTATATTTGTTGATTTATGTATATTAAACTATTGCTACATCTCTGGAATGAAGCCTACATAATCATGGTGGATGATCTTTTTAATGTGTTCTTGGATCCGGTTTGTTGAGAATTTTTGCATCATTGTTCATAAGGGAAATTGGTCTGTAATTTTCTTTATTGGAACTTTTTAAGGTTTAGGTATCAGGGTAATTGTGGTCTGGTAAAAAGGATTAGACAGAGTTCCTTCTGGATCTATTTTGTGGAGTAATTGGAGGATCGTTGGCATTAATCCTGTTTTTAATGTCTAGTAGACTTCTTTACCAAAAACAGCAGGGTCTGAGTGTTTAATTGAAATATATCCTTATGATTTTCTAGATTTCCTCAATGTCTGTTGTTATTTCCTCATTTTCATATCTAATTTTGTTAATTTGGATCTTCTCTCTGCTTTTTACTTAATTTGGATAAGGATTTGCCAGTCTTACTGGTCTTCTCAAAGAACCAACTGTTGTGGGATATTTGTACATTGTATGAAGATGTGTTGTTGTCATTGGAGTAATAAAAAGCTGAATGGCCAATAGCTAGTCAGGAGAGTATAGCTGAGACTTCCAGGCAGAGAAAGAACTCTGGGAAGCAAACAGTACAGAGATGAGGTAATGAGCCACATGAAAGAATGTAGATTTTTAAAATGTGGGTTAATTTACCATATAAGAACTAGTTAAGAGCAAGCCTAAGCTAAGGCAGAGTTTTCATAATTAGTAAGTTTCCATGTCATTATTTGTGGACCAGCAGTCCTGACAAAAAAAAAGTACTACTACAATCAACTCTCTGATTTATTGATTCTTTTTATTTTTTTTCCAAAGGGATTGTTGTCTGTTTATTGTTTTCAGCCTTGAGTTTGATTATCTCCAAGTGTTTGTGTGTGTGTGTGTGTGTG